TAAACATGTTGCAAAAACTAAAAGAAAAAATTCAACTCAATAAATTTAAACAAAACAAAATAAATGTTAGAAACATACCATCTTTGCTTTTAAATTTTGCAAAAACTAGCACTCAAATTTGAATTATTATGAGATAGGTTCTTTCTAGCTTTCATCCACTTGAATAATATACATGTAATGGTATTTATATTTATACCATATATAACTTTGTGCACTACAATTTAATTTCGTTAAAGGTCCTTAACATTTGCTCATTATTACACTTACATTTTTTAATTTTTCCATCTCATTCTTGTCGTCATCATTCCATTAATTAACACATTTTATCTCTAATGATCATTTTTGTCCAAAAATTATGTCAATGTATTTTGAAATAAGACAAATATTTATTCACACTTTTGTATTTGTTTTTTTTTTTTTGTTTATTTGAAAATAAGAGGCACATAAGTCCTTTTACGTCCTCTTAACATAAATTTTTCCACGAAAATCACTATAATGAACAATGTGTACTACATAAAGGAAGGTTAATGATAAAAATGTAATGAAAAAATCAACATAAATACGAAAATAAGTAAAATTTATGAAGTTTTAATGCAATAAAAATATGGCGCACCTATAACAAATTATGGTAAATGTAGACCTGGGTCCGAAATTCACAAATTTAAATAGGTTTGAGATCAAAAACTTCATATTTGAAGGTTAGAGATCCATAACTATCCTGCTTGAAAGGGTGAGGACGCCAACTCCAATTTACTTGAAAAAAGTATTATTTCATGTACTTACAAGCATGATTCAAATTAAATTATTGGGGGTGAGTAATGCTATTTAACGCAATCGACATTACAATGCCAGTTTAGATGATAATAAATGTAATTAAATGAACTACATAATTTTACTTTTAATTGAACTTATTATATAATGTCACTTAAATTGATGTTTTAGCACAACTAATACTAAATGACATTATTCTTCTTCAAAACCTTTGAAAATATGGTCATTTTTAATGTAGATAGACCAAAACACCCTTTTGTAGAAATTTCATTAATTTTTGCAAATATGATCCTGAAATACCAAACCCCTATTCCCACTCCTATCATCACATCCACCACCGGCCGTTGACATTTACCAGAAATTTTCTTCAAGAAACAAACAACCACCCGACGTTGCTTACGTCGACATCAACCACAATCGTCTTCAACAAATCAACAATAATCACTCATCTCTACAATATTAAAATAAGGCTTCGTTTCTACAAGTTTTTTTAACCTTCCCGAACTTTCCGATCGATCCCCAGCCCAACTAAATCACCGTAAAACTCCTATTATCGCCAATCAAATGTTTTAAATCTTTTAGACATCTAAATGTTTTCCGTTCCTTACAGATTTTATGACGATAATAGGATCAATACAAATTTAAAACATTTGCATAAAAATACTGCGAAAGTGTCTAAAAGATCTTATATCCTGGTAGAGAAACCGTAGAATTTGGATAAAATTTAAGGGCATTTTTGTCTATTTCTCAAAAAATGGCTATTGATCCACTAGTCATAAAATATGAACAGTGCTGCATGTACAAACAGACCCCTATCAGTCAATACGCATGGAGGGCCTTGACGTAATTTTATTTTTTTAACATGTGGGCCCGCCCCTACAGTGTGGGGTCGGTAAGACCCCGTAGGTTCAGGGCATTTTCCCATAACACATTGGCCGTTCTACAAAATGCATCTTTAAAAATAAAAGTTTTATCCATATTAATTTAAATCTCTTAGAAATAGAGTGGGAAAAAGAGAAAAAAGATAAAATAACAATAACAGAAATAAAAGGCGTTAATGCCGTGAGCGTCATCCTGGGGTCACACTTGCGTGAGCTCTGAATTGCAAATATGGTCCATTCCCCCGCTTTCACACACAAATGCACGCACTTCTATATAGATATATATCGAATTGTGTATACGTCTATGTTTCTGCGCATATACGTATCTCTGTGTGTATATATGGACTGTAATCATTCCCCTCCGTTTCAATTCCTCATCCGATTTCCATATTTCCTGCACATCTTGATTTTTAGCTCCTTTTCTGGTTATTGAATTCTGCCTAATCCAGGTAATTCCACTATATTCATTTTGATTTCGTCTCTGGAAAATTAAGAAAAGCATGTAATTGAAAGAGATAGGATTTTTTGCTTGTTTTTGTTTTATAATATAAATGGAAGGCTTTATGACTCAGTCGACAGATAATTAAGGAGAATAATTGCTATTCTTCATTAATTTCCCTTTTCGTTTATTTGTTAATTTCAATTCGTATCGTAACTTTAATTAATGAAACAATAGTATTGTAGCTCTTTGGGAACCTTCTAAATTTGGTAAATTGATTTAATTGTTGTGCTAATCGTAGGCAAGGGTAATTTAAGTACGGATTTTAATGGGTTATTGTTGTGAGAAGGGCGTTTCTTTCATATTTATTTTTTAGTGATAGGGGTATGTGGGTGATCATGATGATGATGATAGCATTTATTCAAAAATTTGCTGGCCTTTTCTTTTGTTTTTTTCTTGCTCCTGCATGTCTTTTTCGCAGAATTTTTCTGTATCCTAATTGTTTTGTTTATTAATGTTATATCTCTGAGACTCGAAGTATATCATATTCACAAAAAAATGCGATTGGCATGTTGACCATTATAGTTTCAGGGTTTTTAAATATTGAGCGTGATTTCCATTTAATCAAGTGGATCAGTAATTTATGTTGGTTTTTCAGCATGTGCAGTTTGTTAAAGATACTCCCAATTCCTTTTAGCCTTTGAGCTATTGTTTAGTTGGAGTTTGAGAAGTAAAAATTTGATCTTGGTCATAAAGATGAGCTGCAGCATCAGCAATGAACTGTCTGCTGATTCAGCTTTGTTTGATGAAGGTGGCAGTTATGGAGGGAGCTCAAATGTTGGAGTTGTTCAGAAGAAAGGGCCATGGACCTCGGCAGAAGATGCAATTTTGGTGGACTATGTGAAGAAGCACGGAGAAGGTAACTGGAATGCTGTCCAAAAACACTCAGGGCTTTCCCGGTGTGGTAAAAGCTGCCGTCTGCGATGGGCTAATCATCTGAGGCCAAATTTGAAGAAAGGTGCATTTACTCCAGAGGAAGAGAGATTAATCATTGAGCTCCATGCTAAGATGGGTAACAAATGGGCTCGAATGGCTGCACATGTGAGTTGCTCTTACTTGTAATATGTTAGATTACAATTTATATAATATCCCGATGAGGATCTAAAGAATTAAGTTTATCTATATATAGAAACACAACTGCAATATAAGTTATTGTAGTATGTGAGTGGAATTGATTTAGAGTTGATGTTGTGGAAATGTTGCCAAATGAGTTCTAGAAAAAGATGCTAAGTTACATATGTTATATTTGAATATTCTATCATTTAGTATGGAACTGGGTAAAGTGAAACAATTCAGTAACTTATGGCTAAAAACCAACATAATCTCTTGAAGATTTAATTTATTGTAGATCTTGTGTGTGAATTTCTGTATGGAGTATCGTCCATCTCTCTTGGGCACCTAAACTTTTACCCTTGCTCCTCTCGTCCCTCCCTACATACCTGAAGACAAAAAAAGAAAAAAAAAAAAAAAATGGAAAAAACACTTATCAATGAAAGGAAAGAATCATTTAGAAGTTTTGAAAGCAATGGAGTGAAGAAGCCAATCTTATTTGCAAACTAGAGATGCTAGATTGCTAATATGAATTATAGATAAACTATGCCTTATAAAACGGTTTGGTATCTGACTGACAATAATATCCTCAGAGGGCATCTGACAAGAAAAAAAATTGGTAACACTGAGGTATATTTCACCATGAAATTCAATGTCAATTCCTTGTGCAGGCATTATTGTCCGCTGGATTTTTTATTGTCTCCTAACAGGGTAGAAATGACTACAATAAATTACTGGCACAAAAAAGTTTCAGAAAACTGCAAATTGCTACTTCCATATTCGTTAAACCTGATTGTGGAATTTAATCATATAAATACTGTTTATTGTGTCTTGAGATTTATGATGCAACTTCAGATTGTTGCTAAGTTGTAAGCATAAATTGTTCAATCTGAATTTTGTAACACTGGGCATCTTTTTCTCTCCAGTTGCCTGGACGTACAGACAATGAGATAAAGAACTACTGGAATACTCGAATCAAAAGACATCAACGTGTTGGCTTACCATTATATCCTTCTGATTTTTGCTTGCAAGCAATTCGGGAGAATCAACAAAATCTAAATGCACCTGGAATACCTGGTGGAGATACAGGATGTCAAAATCTCTTGCAAAGTAATGGTTGTCAGACACCGGATGTGATGTTTGATAGTTTAAACACCAATCAGGGAGTCTTACCATATGGAACAGAATTTCTAGATGGTTCTGCTAGTAGCTTGTTGATGAAAGGTTTTAATTCTCAGTTTTCTCACTTTATTCCTTCTATGACAAGACGCCAGAAACGGACTCGAGAACCAGATGAGTTTATATCGTGGTATAGCAACAGTACTTCAGATGATAATCCCCCATTTGATAGGGATCAAAATGATGTTTATCAAAATAACACGGCTCAACTAGTAGTTCCATGTTGTACATATGACCCTGATCCAGTCACCAAGAAGCTATTATCTTTTGGTGTAAATCACAGCCATTCTATATTAAATGGCCACTTCTCTGCTTCTAAGCCCACAGCAGGTGCTATGAAGATAGAACTCCCTTCACTCCAACATCAAGAAACTAGTTTAGGTCAGTGGAGATCACCTCCTCTGCCCCCTGTACTCGAATTAGTGGATTCTTTCATCATGTCTCCACAATCTGTGCCCCTGCCCCTGCCCCCAGGTTGTCCTTCACCTCGGAGCAGTGGACTATTGGAAGCTTTAGTTTATGAGGCTAATTCAAGGGGCAATTCAAGGAATCAGTCTTCTGAAAAGAGTACAAGTTCATCTAAGATTTCTTGTAATAATATAACTGACAGTTCTGCCTTGAAAACATCCTCCACTGAGTTCGGAGGCTATCATGACCCTAAGTCCTCATTGGGTAATTCAAGTGGTTCAGTTTTAAGCGAGTGCACCCCTACGAGTGCCACTGGAAGTTCACTGGAAGAAAATGTACCTGGTAAGAATTAGTTTTCCTTTCTATCAGCATTTGTGATGGTGCAATTGTTACAAAACCTTAAACTGTTCCTGAAAACTACAAATATTGTGGCTGTTACAAGTGATTGAAGCATTAACTATTTTAATATTAAGTCATAAATTCATCCTTGTAGTTTCGGAATGAGCTCTAGTGTCAGGAATCTTATCGTTTAATTTTACACACAAGCGTTGACTGATTTTGAGCTCCCTAGAGGTTAGAACTTAAAAGTATATCCGCACTTGAGAGAAGGAGAATGCATGTTTGATCTTAAATCATTGTATGGTGAAAGAGAGAGTGAACTGTCTCTGCATGGTCCTTCTAATTATATACATAAAAGACATGTTTATTGTTTGAATTGTGCTCTATTCAGCAAAATTCAGTTCCGCACTAGTTACGAGGCTAATGCTGCAACTCTTGATAAATTCTGAAACTAACAGTTGTGTAGGCACTATGCTCTTCCCTTCCCTTGTTTACACATTTTGGTCAATAAATTCTACATAATGCAACTACATGTTCTTGTTTCCAGATAAATTTCCACTGGCAGGGGTTCTTTCCTTGGTTCACTTTCTAATCAACATTAAGAGAGAGAAAAAATGTAATTGTGAAAGATAATTTACTTTCTGGGAGGGAAATTGAAGATTTTATTATTCCCAACTTGCCTGGTCTCCTTCCAAAGTTCTGCTACGACAATTCAGCAAGTATAAGAATAAAAGTGATAGTATGAAAAATGCTGGGCCAAATTGCAATTACGTGTAATGTTATGGCATTGTGTTTCCTTTGCAGTGTTACTACCCTTAGCCTCCTAGTCTTAGATGACCTTTGTAGATTACTCGTGAAATTTCTTTCAACCTTGATGGCGAACTGTATTTTTATTTATTTATATATTTATTTGGGTTTTGGGGGGGGGGGGGGGGGGTTTTTTTTGGGGGGGAAGGGGGGAAAAGGGGGG